ATAGATAGACTGAAGTTAAGACAATGTCATGTGGAAAATTCACACATGCGCAGTGTGATCGGTAAAGCTGGCGTCATGACAACGCCTCCTTCCCTGTGTGTCAGCCATTTTGACAGATTGCACTGGAGAATATTTCACGAGTTTTGCAAAACGATTACGACTTTGAGAGATCGTGCAAGTTGACGAGTTGGAGAAAATCATGAATCTCGGTACAGGAGGTAGGCATATATGATAAGATAACAACGTTTTCTTTAGCCTGAGGCCTGTGTGTAACGCTACACTTCGGCTGAAGGGTCATTGTCAGCATGGACACTGTCCCTCCTCTTCAATCTTCGCGTTGAAGTTGGATAAAATTCAAAACTTATCACTCACATAAATAAACTTCGCAGTTTTGAACTCGGAGGTAAATGTCTTGATACATTCCAACTCCACTATCATCTTAAGAAAAACAAAGGTGCTGAAAATGACCTTTCAAAAATGGGTACATCATAAATGTCACAGTGACACATTACGAAATCGCGATTCACGGCCTTATTTTGAGTATGTATTGAAATGTGAAAATCGGATACTTTGAGGACTGAATTTCAAAAAGAGCATAATAATTAACACTGAGATCTGTGTTTCATCAAATCACCAGTGGTAATTTTGAAACTTAGACTCTAGTAATCTTGAAAATACACAAACACGAACGCCGAAAGCGAGTTTTCCGCCATGTTGGATAGTGTCTACAAAATTACGCGAAGGCCGGTCATGAGGCGCCTTTTACATCACGTATATTTCAAATTCAGCAGCGACAAATACATCACTGAATTCCTCAACCCCTCATACACTTTAGAATCAAATAACAAATTATCTTTGTCACCAATACCAAGTGTCCAGATGAAATCAAACGAAACATGTGAAATAAAAACAAAGTAAACTAAGATTTAACACCGTGTCTCATTTTGTCATATTTTCAGATATTCATTCGTCTATTTGTTGCATGCATTAGCCCAATAAACCCAGAATATGCATGGAAAAAATATCGTAGCAAGAAATAGCTTGTTCAAATTATATACAATTCAATAATTTGATAAAATTCAAACGAAATTGTCAATGTTTCCTTGCTGCGTGACGCCATGACTGACGAAAACTCAGGCAAAACGACAACGGTAATTATCTGTATTTCTGACTTTTTGTCTTTGTTACAATGAAAACAATAAACAATGAGTACAAAGTCAGAATGTTTCTGATTACTTACATCACATATTTATGAACAAACGACCCCTGCATCAAGGAAAGGTCTCTCGCAAAATCCTGCCTACCAACGCTAGTGAACACGCCATGTTGTGAAAAAGTCGGTGACCGGTTTTGATGTCATACGTCAACATTGTTGTACACATTATTATGGTGATTCTTTGAGTAAGGCCGGAGTAAAGATCCTATCTGCTGCTTACAGTTTCAATATTTTCTTGTATATTTTGCAATCGTTTACATATTTTTATACAGCTAATTATCTACATAATACCTTGTTCAATATCACATCACGGCTCCCACACCACAACTAGACGATAGCTCCAAGTTATTTTTTTTATCCTTTGATAGTCTTTGATTTTATTTATCTTTTAGACAAATGTTCGAAGATTAGATGTAAGCATAACTGTAAAAATATACTTTCTTCCTATTACGTGTAATATTAACTATTGTAATTTCAGAATTAAGAAATTACCAGGTTAGTAAACAACGATTTAATTCAGTTAAACACAACTCAACTAGCTATATCACTTTTATCAAAAGTGTATGCACATACATGTATTACATTGTCTGGGTCATGGAACATATGTTAACTATATATCTGTAACTTAAAATTGTACCTTAAAATAAGAGCCATACCTTGTCCTTTTTTGGTCAAACCTTTTAGCAATATTGTGATAATTCCTTACAAAATGGACATATTCTATTCACCTTTAATTATGAAGGGAAATAGCCACATAATAAATAAATAATGAACAAGGAAAGGTCCGATCCTGACATTATATTCGCGAGTTTTGAATTGATCTGTTTGATTACATGAAACTGACGCTAAACGTGTGTTGTACACATGAGCACGCGGTAACACTAACTAATTATTGATCTATTCGGGAAATTATTCAAATAGTAAAATCACTCATTACGTAGTACTCTGTCAAAAGAGCGTCAAATTCTGACGGACAAACCGAGATTTGGTAAGATTACAGAATACCGGGTACCTTCCTAACCCTAGGGTTATGGTTAGGGTTAGGGCAAGGTAAGGGTTCGGGTTCGGGTTAGGGCAAGGGTTATAAAATTAGGGTTAGGGTTAGGGTTAGGGTAACGTGACATTAAACAATATGGTTGGTATGTATCCGGTATTCTGTAAGTGTACCGGAATTTTACCTTGAACAAAGCATAACAAAAAATATACTGTCCTTATCCACAACGAATTCTCTCCAAGTTTCCTGCGGTACAATGACTTTGTGTTGAGTCTAATGGAGTTATACCCCCTTATCGTTATGCGTGTTTAACAATGTCTAAGTTTCAAACCGCCGAAGAATTTGTACTTCAGTTTACATCATTGGATAGGAAAAATAATATTCTACATGCCTGTGTAATTGTAGAGTGGTTTGTTGATCCAGTGCTATGCGATCGTCATTGTCGCATATGGTTCACTAGCTACATGTGAGTAAGAGAAAATATCTGCATCCAGTAGAGCTGTGACTATATATCGTAGTGTCGATAATCGTGATACTTTTTCTGACAATAAATATATCGATACCTTTTTTCGTATCGTGATATGTATCGTTGACCTAAAAATTGTAAATTTTCACTAGAAATTGACGGTTATGTCAAAATGTACACTGTTACTTGTTATCAAAATACACTTTTGTAGAGAAAATAACTAAAGATAGCATATCGTGATACGCATCGTATCGAATCGTATCGTTCCAAGATATCGCGATACGTATCGTATCGTGAAATTTCTGTATCGTCACACCTGTCACCTCTAGCATCCAGGTGTGTGTGTGTGTGTGTGTGTGTGTGTGTGTGTGTGTGTGTGTGTGTGTGTGTGTGTATGTGTGTGTTTGTGTTTAAAGGAAACACATTGTAACGGGTCACGGCCATAATCACATGCACTTACCATAACAAGACCCGCGTTTAGTCATGGTTTATTTGTAGTTTTCAATATTACTCCTAATGTCACTTCTAGATGTATCTTCATCAGCTTGGTCAAAGAGGCATATAGTCAAGGATGTACAGTGGGACAGGACAATTTTTAAGGCGAAATTGTATGTGTACCCGGGGAGGTTTTGTCAAGTACTACAGACGCAGGCAGTGTTTTAGATGTCAGCTTAATGGTGAAATCTATCAATAACGATGAAAGCAAGAAAGACCAGTGAAAACAGATAAACAATGTTAAACTATGTAACATGCCAACTCAACAAATATTACGGTACACCTATAACTCAGCTATATATAGATAATCTTATATGATCAGTATTGATTTATGAGTTTGCTTGGAACATATCGATGAAAATGCCTTTTGACATGATCCATTAACAGAACATTTTTCATGCAGTAGGTTGATAAAGTTTATCATAATGTTTCTGTCGTTTTCAAGCAGGGTGCATGTAGAAATATAGGTTCAGTTCTTGTCCTATAAATAACTATAGAGCTTTTAATGAGCATGTGAATCTCTGGAAATAGATTAGTGTTGCAGCTGTTCTATTCGTAGAGTGGTGTTCGGTTTATTCAGATGATGATATGGTCATGAGATGTCAAGAAATGTACTCAAAGCCCATGAATACATATGGAAGTCTAGTACAAAGAGCCATACATTATCATCATTTGACATGAATATCACAAGAACCTTATGATCCAAAAAAAGTGTATTCGTTCTCTGGCATCAAACAATTACACGTGTAAATTATTACACGTGATACTAATTTTTCAGTTGCCACGACACCTATTGAGGTAAATTCTCAGGTAATAACCACACAGAACATAATATGTAGTATACTACTTTACACTTTACTAGTACACTACTTTGATGAATCTGCTGTCGGATAAGAGCGGTTTTGCCCATATAATCATAATGTAAATATTATTTACAGATATAGCTCACACAGACATAACTAAACAAGTAACATGACATAACATTAGATGGTGTTTTGTAACCCTTAAAATCTACACGATAAACTTAAATAAAAGAAACATTATATATGTGTGTAATAATAAACCTTAACCATTTGTGGAATTGAGCAGGTATTTCATGTTGTAGATATCAGTATGTGAAGACGGAAATTTGCCTGTAATGCACAATCATCATCATCATACCATAATGTAACCAATGAGTTTGATATCACTGGAAATCGATATTCACTCTACTCAAACAAGCCATTTATACATAAATAGTAAATACACTTAGCACTTAGCCAACTGCCCATAATGATTATTAAACAGAACTTTAATCTTATTTAATTTCTTATTTTACTTTCAAACAACAAAACAATCTAACACTATTTATATCCGATGATTATAAAGTAGTTATATATGTCATAAAATGGTAAGAAAGAAACCAAATTAAATATGCCATGAAAATGTCACTTCTACACATGATGCAACAGAACTCCTAAAATTTGCTATGTAATTATAATTTTCATTGTTTGCGTTGTCATTAATTGTAAAATATTATTCTGATTGTGGTTATTAGTTGAATTGCAACGTTTCATAAATGACATAAGTACCAGACACTCCTCCATGGAAGTAACAGAAGCGTTAGTAAAATTGTAATTGAGGGAGGTAACTCATGCTGTGGGTGAGAGTAGCGCCCCTTGAACATGGCTACAACCTTAACAACCAGATCGACGTCTTTTATCCACACCATTATCTTGTTATATTGCGTGATCACTTGGAAACATTCACTTTAGATGATATAGATAGACGGAAGTTAAGAAATGTAGAAAGTTCACACATGCGCAGTGTAATCGATGCCTCTTGGCGTCATGACAACGCCTCACCGTGTGTCAGCCATTTTGACAGATTGCACTGGAGAATATTTTGCGATTTTTGCGAAACGATTACGTCTTGGAGAGTTCGTGCGAGTTGACGAGTTGGAGAAAATCATGAATCTCGCTACAGGAGGTAGGCGTATGTGATAATACAAAAACGTTTTCAAGTTCTATTAACCTCAGAGGCCACTTCGGTGTAATATACCGTGTCCCGACAGATATCTCAATAAGGGATTAGGATACAATGACACTCAGATGTACACCCTGCACCCTCACTTGCACCTGTGTTAATTTGACCCACACACTCTTTGGGCCTGATGTTCCTCCAGATCTGACGCCCATCGAACAGGTGTGTGACAAAACGAAGCATCAACTTCCAAAACACACGGTGACACAGATCATGAAATTTGTCAATGCATTGTATAGATCTGCATCAAAGTTGACAAGTGTTGACAGACTTTGATCGAGGCCTGGTCGGAGTGACACCATATCGGCCTTCCTCTTACATACTGTGTCGTCAGTGGTGGCCTTGTCAAATTTGTGTCACAGTAAATTGTGGCCAGAAACCTGGGAAAGTTAAGGAAATAATGAGAATCACTTTCCCTTACTAAGATTTGACCCGCCTTTAGTCAAGGCAAGGGTCGTTTTCTCTCAATCATAGTTTTCAATATTGTTCCAACGTCACCCAAGGTTCCTTTTCCTTGGCTATTTTAGGAGGCGACAAGCATGTACAGTAGGATATAACAGGTTATTTAGAAATATCTAACGCTTAACCGTGCCTATGTAACCGGAGGGGTTTTGTGAATGTACCAGGGACGGAGGTTGGGTTTCAGATGACAGTTTAATGGTGAAATCTCAGGGGCGTAGCTACCATTATAGAAAAAAGCCCGGGCTTACACAAGACTGTTGCTAAAAAGGTTGGACAAGCCCTCAATACTATCTAGATATATGGCTTTGCAACCTATAGGGCTTACAGGAAAAATATTGGCTTGCTACGCGCCTGAATCTGTTGATAAGAATGAAAGCAAAAGAGGGCATATGTAAATAAATACAGCGTTTATATCATCATATATTAATTCATTCATAGGTGCAATGCAGTATTTAGTTTATAGATGTATGTATACAGTTAATGTTCACATTATCATTAGTAAGACCAAAAAGCTAGGTAACATCCACATGAGAAATGGTATTTAAGATTAGGGATTAGCTTTTCTAAACTTACTGAAGAACGTGAAGTATTTGGGCAAACCTACTTATGTGACATTAACTTGAACCTAATAGTTAATTTCATTTATATTTACCACGCATAAAATAATACATACTTTAAAGGAAGCTAAGACACAATACATATGCACTAAATGAGAACATATAAAATCAATGTACATGCTGACCCTTCATAAATTGTGATTGCGTCTAGTGACAGACAACTTCAGTGAACATGTGAATTTATGCTGACCAACAAGCGCCCTGCTACTGAATATAAGGCGCCTGGGGCTGGGGTGGGGTACGACAATAGAAACTGAAATTCAAAGTTTGTTCTTTTCTCGCATTTTCAAGCAGGGTTCATGACGAAATGAAGTTTGAGTTCTTTTCATATGAATATCTCTTGAGCTTTTAATGATTATGTGAATCTTTGTAAACACATTAGTTCAGCGTTCGAAATACCGGACAGCCCCGGACAGGTTATTTTTCAACACAGACAGTCAGATTATCAAATTCACCTGCACGACCGTCGGGTTAAAATTTAGACATGTATATGAAGATATTTTGTGGGCAGGTACCTTCGATGAGGGCTGGCATGTTTTACTTCTAACCAGCCCTGTGGTCTGGCTGAAAGCTTTGGGAGTTTCATTACCTAGGCCCCATTTCACAAACCAATCGTAGCGCTACCACTGTCGTTAGTCTATGTTAAAGTATGGGATCACCTTAGCGCTACAATCGCTTTGTGAAACGGGGCCCAGATTATTTGTATTAGGCACCAAGTTAAAACACGACTGGCTGTAGGGGTGGGGTGCGGTTTATTAATGGTCATGTTGTCATGAGATGCAGTCAAGAGATGTAGTTAAAGCCCAGATTTTCGAAGCTCTCTTAGCGCTAAGATAGTCGTAAGTTAATGTTAATGTATGCCACTTACGACTATCTTAGCGCTAAGAGAGCTTCGACAATCTAAGCCCAGGGCCTAGATTTTGAAAGCTCTCTTAGCGCTAAGATAGGGCCTAGATTGTTGAAGCTCTCTTAGCGCTAAGATAGTCGTAAGTGCCATACATTAACATTAACTTACGACTATCTTAGCGGTAAGAGAGCTTCGAAAATCTAGGCCCAGGCAAACATATCACTCTTTAGTGGAAATGGCCATACAGTGTATTAATTTAAGACGAATATCACAAGCAACTTATCATCACAAACAAGTGTATTTCTCTGGTGTCTTACAAGTCCAAATGTATGATACTAATTGTCACTCCATCAATAGTGCCTGCCTGCATATATGTACACCAAGGGAGGTAATCTTCAGCCAGATAGCACGTTTTACCCAAATAATCATAATTAAAACAGTATTGACACGTATACGTATCTAATATAGACATAACTACAAGTAACATGACATACAGTTAGATAGTTTTATGCAAGTCTCAAAGGCGACATGAAATTCCACAGAAAAAGGAAATATGTTTTCGTGTATCCATTTATGGAATTGAGCAGAATTAGCTTCATGTTGTGACCATCACCAATTGAACACTGACGTCTGACTGCAATGCTCAAACATCATCAATGAGTCATGCAATATAATACCAATGTATGTATACATAGCCAACTGCTCATATTGTTTTATTAAACCGAACTTTCATCTGAATATTACAAATACCTACACTACCAAATGAACTTTAGCTTTAATTTAATTGACCAACATTAGTTCTCCCTCCAACATTACCATATTAAACAAGCTACCAAACAACGTTATTGTTTAAGATACAAACAGTTTATTGAGCTTGTGGGAATGAACTAATAAACCTAGACATAATGTAGTGTTAATGTATGTAAGTGCTGTCACAGGGGTGGTCTGATTGGTGCATAGTAACTATGTTAGTTTTGAAAACAAACCTAATTAACTCATTAAGATTTGCCTTGAAAATGTCACTGCCACATTAGGTGCAACTGAACTTTCAAACCTTGCTAGGTAATTATATATTTTCATTTTTTGCATTCTCACTAATTGCAAATACTATTTTGATTGTGATAATTATTCGACAAATGTTGATTTGGTACGTTTCATATATGAGCAGGAGTACCACACATGACATTCCTCCATGGAAGTAACAGAAGCGGTGGTAAAATTGTAGTTGAGGGGGGTAACTCATGCTGTGGGTGAGAGTAGCGCCCCTTGAAAGTGGCTACGCCCTTATAATCTCATTGACGTTTTTCATTCATACCACTGCCTCGTTATATTGCATGGTCATTCGGAAACTTTCTATTTAGGGGATATAGATAGACGGGAGTCAAAACATGTAGGAAGTTCACACATGCGCAGTGTAATCGGTAGCTCTGGCGTCATGACAACGCCTCTTCCCTGTGTGTCAGCCATTTTGACAGATTGCACTGGAGTATATTTCACAAATTTTGCAAAACGTTTACGACTTTGAGAGTTCGTGCGAGTTGAAGAGTTGGAGAAAATCATGAATCTCGGTACAAGAGGTAGGCATATGTGATAGATATAAGCGTTTTCTTTAGCCTCAGGCCTGTCTGTACCGCTACATTTCGTTGTGACATACCCCGACACACATCTCGACAAGAAAGGGGGATACACAATGACATTCAGATGTATACCCTGCACCCTCACATGCACGGGCGGTCAGAGACGAGTAGACTTCAGTATTTGGGTACCCGCTTGGCGGGTTTCTCAACGTATCGAACGTTTTTACGCTTTTACGGTTATGGAGACGACAATATAAAGCATCCATATATGTCTCTCCTCTTCAACCTTCACTTAGAAGTCAAATTAAATATTCAAAATGTATCACGCACACAAATACACTTAACAATTTTTAATTCTGAGGAACATGTCCTATTTCTTGATACCATCTTGGGTAATTACTAAAGCAAAATTGCTGAAAATGACCTTTAAAAATTTGCTACATAGTGAATGTCCGCCATTTTTGACACATTACGAAATCTCGATTTACGGCCTTTATTTTTGGTGAATGTTTTGAAATTCAAAATACTCGGAGGATTGAGTTTGAGAAATAGCATATTAATGATCACTGATGTCTGTTTTTCATCCAACAAATGACCAATGGTAATTCTAAAACGTCGCCGATAAACCTAGAATCGGTTGAGATGCTTTGGAAAATACACAAACAGGAACGCCGAATTGAGCATTCCACCATACTGGACAGTTTTTACAAAATCACGTTTCGTGATGTCCGTCATGAAACGCCTATTACATTATGTATATTCCATCTTCAAGGACGACAAATACATCACTGAATTCCTAATACATAGTAACAATAATCTTTGTCACCAATACCAAGTTTGGACATGAAATCAAACGAAACATTGCGAGTAACACTGCGCCAGTTTGAAATATAAACAAATATAATTTCAGATTTTGCTGTAAAGCATTTCCTCAAATTTTCTTACATCCATTCGTCAATTCGTTTCATGTATTGGCTCAGCACGTTAATACAATACATGGAAAGGATATCGTAGCACGAAATATGAAATGAAAAGTAGATACAATACGATTATTTGGTAAATTCAAACGAAATTGCCAAAGTTTCCGTGACGCCATGATTGAAGCAAAATTATACGCAGAATGACAACTGTAATTCTCGACTTTTTCGCTTAGTTACGGTGAAAACAACACAAACAAATAACAATAATCAAATAGTCAGAATGTGGATTCTGATTAATTACATCACAAATTTATGTACCAACGATCCCTGTATCAAGGAAAGGTCTCTCGCAAAATCCTGAGTACCGATGTCAGTGAAGATGCCATTTTGTGAAAACTCGGTCACTGGCTGTGATGTCATACATCAACATTGTTGTACATATTTAGTGATTTCTTTGAGGTGAAGGTCGTTTAAATAGTCCCAAACACAATAACCCTATCATGCTTCCATACTATTATGTATATTTTGCTATCTTTAAGATATTTTTTTAACGAAACCAATTTTATGATCTACATTGTGCCTTGTTCAAGAGCATATCACAGATGGGTGATAGCTATAAGTTATTTTTATCATTTATCAATTTATTGGTTTTGTTTGCTAGAACAATATTTACATAGAAATTGACACTCTTAGCGTAGTACACCAGATGTTAACTTTTGCACAAGTGTTGGAAGATGACAAACTACAAAATGTACGTAGTTCATATGATATAACATTGTATTAACTATGACCCACAGTAATATTGTATTTTCACACAAACAGGTTTGTGAACAGCAATTTCATTTAATCATATTTGTACAACTGACTATATTAAGAAAGGTATTAATCTTTTTTATCAAACGTGCACGCCTACATATTTATAAGGAATTGGTTTTTGCCATGGAATTTTTTAGATCATTTTATGGACAATGATTCGACAGATGGCGTTTGTCACAAACGTTTACCGATCGTCTTGTTTTCTATAATATAATCAGTTTACATTTCCAAAAATAATGACAGTATATTTAACTGTTAAATATTTTTCTGCAAGACTTTACCGAAAATGTAAAGCATGCCATGTCCTCCTTTGGTCAAACCGTGTTTTGTTGTCTTTTAGCAGCATTTAGAAGTTGTTATAGATGACCAAGATATTTTATGGATTTATGCTTCTTTATTTTCTCCCACACAAAGTTTCGGGATCATTACAGATCCCTTCGTCAAACTGCCATGATGATCCCGAAACGTTGTGTGGGAAAGAATAAAAATACTTTGTTCATCTTTCATTGTATAATTATGAGAGAAAATAGCCATAAGAATGATCAATGAAAAGTCCGATCCTGACTATATATTCGCGAGTTTTTAAACGGTCTTTTTGATTTACGTCAAAATAATGCCAAACGCTTGTTGTCCACATGAAGATACACGGTAAAACTATCTAATTGTTTACCTGTTCAGGGAATTATTTAGATAGTAAAGCCAGTCATTTCATACTCTGTCAAAAGAGCGTCAAATATTCTAATTGACAAACCGAGAACTTGTGAACCTTGAACGGAATTTAGGTAAGATATATACTATTATTAACCTGACAATGTCGTCTTTCTCCGATGTTGCCAAATACATAAAACAAACTATACATTCAACTAAAGTGGTGTCATTTTTTTCAATAAGTTCATTACAATTGAAGATGTGGATATTACTCTGATAATAATGTCGAATCAATAGTAAAAATAAATCTGCACAATCAAGAGATGAGGGGAAATAAGAACTAATATACAGAATAGATAGGGCCGTCCATTTAACTATTATGTCCTTTCTCCTGTTGATCAAATTTCATAGTTTCTTACAATTTGTGATACTCAGTCTCAGGTTTTATGCATGTGTGACCTCTCTGTCTAAGACATGAGCAAAGACATGATACACATGCGCTAAATATAAACACCATAATACACAATTAACATACTTATATGCAATGATCTGAGATCAGGGATTGAAATCTTATAACTTGTGATTGTGTCTAGCCATGCAGACAGGTTTTTCAAGCAGTACCCATGAGGAATTGAAAGTGGAGTTCTTTTCCCATGAATAACTCGTGAACTTTTAATGATAATCTGACTCTTTGTAATCACATTAGATGCAGCTGAACTTTTTTGGTAATTATATCTTTTCATTGTTTGCTTTTCCAAGACAATACATCGGACATGTCCATATTTTCAAATGAGAAAAGCCTTAACACATTTGATCATGACTAGATCATTGTAAAATATTATTGTTAAAATTTACATGAACATTTGTCAAATGCTGTGTTAGAACGTTTTCATATTCATCAATTAGTATGAATACCAGAACACAACAGAGACCCCTTCCGTGGATATTACTGAAGCGATAGTAAACATGTAATGGAGGGGAGTAACTCTCATTAGTTTATGCTATGTGTGAGAGTAGCGCCCCTTGAAATTGGACACGACCTTATTAAGCAGATTGGCGTCTTATGTTTTCACCAATACCGCGTTATATTACGTGATCATTTGGAAACATACTCTTTAGGTGATATCGATAGACGGAATATGTTAAAAATTCACACATGCGCAGTGTGATCAGTAACTCTGGCGTCATGACAACGTCTCCTCCCTGTGTGTCGGCCATTTTGACAGATTGCACTGGAGGATATTTTGCGAGTTTTGCGAAACGTTTTACGGCTTTGAGACTTCGTGCGAGTTGACGACTTGGAGAAAATCATGAATCTCGGTACAGGAGGTAGGCATTGATGATGAAACAAGAGGGTTTTCTTCAGCCTCAGAGGCCTATCTGTAACGCTACACTTCGTTGTGAGATTTACCACGACACATATCTCGATGAGAGATCAGGATGCACAATGACATTCAGATGTACACTCTGCGCCGCTACTTGGCACATGGTCAGAGACTTAATTAGAAGGGTAGACATTTGGGCAGTATTTGGGTCCCCGCTAAGTTTCTCACTTAGCAAACGTTCTTACGTTTTTATGGAAGCTTTCGAGACGAATTTGACTAATATAAGGGCCCCAATAGAGCATCCCAGATGTGTCCCTCCTCTTCAACATTCACTTTGAAGTCATATAAAATTCAAATTGTATTACAATACAGTTAAAAAAATGGAATTCTGAGGGAAATTTTCCGTTTCTTGATACCATCTCTGGTAAATCAAAAGTGCTGAAAGTGACCTTCCCAAAATTGGCTACACATTACGAAATCGCGATTCACTGCCTTATTTGTTGTATGTATTGAAATGTAAAATTACTCGGAGGATTGAATTTCAAAAAGGCGTATGTGATGCGATAAAAGTGTTTTCATTAGCCTCAGAGGCCGATCTGTAACGCTACACTTCGTTGTGACATATATTTCGACAAGAGAGTTGGATACACAATGACATTCAGGTGTACATGTTGAGGGAACATTTCCTATATCACAGGAGATGATCAGTCACATGATTAGTATTGTGAGTCGGTTAGCACGGTGATATCGTCCGTTTTGTAAACTGTATCAATCTATGCTAATGTAAATTCGTATCAATTCATAACCTACGGACATGATACTCGTATCAAGGCACTGAGTAGTTTTCTAGTTTTCAATTATGATATTTATGTGTCTACGCTGCATTCAAGGTAGACATATAATTCATTTAAACCAGTGCATTTTGCTACTTGTCTTGAATCTTGTACGAAAAAAACAAACAAAAACAACCATTCGATGTGTGCATCTCTTCTGTTTGAATCTTGGGATATGTTTCCAGACAGCAAGAAAAGATTTGGTTTACAAATATTTTGAAAAGTGAAACAATATTCTCTTGAGTTTCATTAAATATTCTCATTGTGAACAGTTCCTGTGCCCTGCCTGAGCCCTGGCCTGCCTACAGTGGTGATGGGAGATGGGACCAGATGCCTGCTGGACAACAACACTCTCTGGATACCAGCTGGTAATCCTGTTGACCTCACACTGGCGCCTGGTTACCCACAGCCAACACTCCTGCAGCCTAGAGTTCAGCCCTCTATGCATGGTATCACCCTGCCTACTACAGTCCAGCCAACAGCCAGGTCTGTGTTCCAGCCGGCAGTTCCCCAGCCTCCATCTCCTGGCATCAGTGGCACCAGTGGCTCCAGCCTGCCCAGTTCTCAGCTTGACCTGCAGCTGATAAGGCCAGAGGTATGCATGGCTATTGTTATATTGATGATCTTAGAATTTGACTCTCTAAACTTGATGTCCTTCTTTCATAACAAGATAGAACATGTTATACTGGGACTCTCTATTATCGCGGGCTCTCTATTATCGCGGCACGGGAAAGAATCGGGAAAGCAGAAACGCTACGCCCACATCGGCTGTTTACATATGAAAATTACCTAAAATATATTCATCGCCCTAGAAAAAGTCACTTATTTCATTTCATAGAAATATTAAAGCATTCATCTTTTCAGTAAGTTCTAGAACATTTTGAAACTAGTATGACCCCTACTGCCATTACATCTAGCATGAATCAAAACTTACTTCATCAAGAGTAATCCTGCGACAACTATAAGGTCATTTGCATATTTTCCGTGCTAAAAATATAAAAGGAAGTGAGGTATTATGCAACTTCACTCTACACACGGCAGCAACTTGTATGGTACGTTTTAAGGCAGAAAAACAATATTTTGTAATGTTATTGTTACCTTGTATCCAAATGAATAGAAGTTTCAGATGTTTGGGTTAAAAACATGATGATATTACTAATGTGAATCAAATTCCTAAATATTTTTTAATGATCAAACTATTTAGATTCGTTACTTGTCTTAGTAAACATTTCACAGTGTCATCTGCTTGTACCGCGTGCCATAGTAAGAAAATATCAATACCGCGATAATAGAGAGTTGCTTCAATTTCTGGGTCAAAAGAGACAATCGGAATTGCCGCAATGGTATTAAACGTGTTGCGACTATGTGTCACACTATTTGTGAAAGAAATGAAGATTAAACATCAGTCAACTGAAAATATATATAAAATACTAAATGTCAGTAGCCTTTCATAATATCGATGGCGACAACATTAACTACCACGATAATAGAGGGTCCCATCATATATTGACTGTATCCCTCATCAGGACTTCTCCTGTGTCCTGCCCCCACTTGACCTTCCCAGACCACTTCCCCAATCCATGTCTGTATCTAAAGCAAGTCAGCCCAAAGCCACGTCCAAGACCCCTATCCTGTCAAAGCGAAAACCTGAGCTCAAGCCCTGCAAGCGCAAGCCCCGCACTTTCAGACCAAAACCTGAGCCAAAGCCTCGCATTCCTAAGGAGAAAGTGAGGAAGAACCAGCCAGAGAGCAAGCCCTACTTTGTGCCTCAGCCTCTTGGAGCTAAGCACATCAAACCCCAGAGCAGAACCCTGGGGGACCGTATCACTAAGCCCTTGGGTGATCATGGTATCATTAAGCCCTCAACTAAGCTTAGTTTCGCTGGACAGCTGAAGTCTGCTGATCGTGCTTACTTGAAGCCAAAGTCTGTCTTGCCCAGTACAGGTTGCAAGACTTTGCCTGTCCCTGTTAAGAAAGTAAAGGATAAGGTTGTTTCAGAATCAGAGAGTGCTAAGTCAGGTAATGTCACTGTTGCTGACGAAAGTGTAAATCCAGACAAGGCAGTTGACAGAGATGAACCCAACTCTGATGATGAATATGATGTGGAATATCTGTATCTTACTAAACTTATTTTAAGAAAAAAGAGGAAACCCACTGCTGAACCCAGCACAGAGCCCCTGCCCTCACGCAAGAGGAAGTGCCCAGATGACAACAGCCAGGTGCCCCAAGCCATGAAGCAGGCAAGACTGGAGGAGCCCCAGGACTCTCTGGAGGACCTGGAAGCTCTCCTGGCTGAGTACAGCACCAGTCTGTCATCTGGCACCAGGGACTTCTTCTAAACACAATAAGGTGCAGGGGAACAGGTAAGTATAGATAGGTGTATAGTTAGGTGGCTGTTTATATATGATATCCCACATGTCTCTCGCCATCCATGTTTGCTGTATGTACAAAACATGGTGGTTTTTCCTGTGCTCTCCCCTTGTCTCTCTCTCTCTCTCTCTCTCACACACACACTCTCACACACTCACACACACTCTCTTGAACCCACGCGCACACACAGACACAAACAAACAAACATCACACTTATCTACATCTACTAAATTCAGTGTTATTTGTTGTGATTGGCAGTTCTCAGCCATCTGCATATTCTAAATTCTGATTACCATACTCTCCATACAACACTACCATACTCTCCATACAACACTACCATACTCTCCATGCAACACTACCATACTCTCCATACAACACTACCATACTCTCCATGCAACACTACCATACTCTCCATGCAACACTACCATACTCTCCATACAACACTACCATACTCTCCATGCACACATACTTCCATGCAACACCATACTCTCCATACAACACTACCATACTCTCCATACAACACTACCATACTCTCCATACAACACTACCATACTCTCCATACAACACTACCATACTCTCCATACAACACTACCATACTCTCCATACAACACTACCATACTTTCCATGCCATACCATACACTACCATACTCTCCATACAACACTACCATACTCTCCATACAACACTACCATACTCTCCATGCAACACTACCATACTCTCCATACAACACTACCATACTCTCCATACAACACTACCATACTCTCCATGCAACACTACCATACTATCTCAGCACTCATCTCTCTACTAGGCTACAGTTTGGTTGTTATACTTTCTGCTGTTTTATTGTTCTCTCTGCTATACCACTCTCTCTTGTTTTATATCACCTACCATGGTACTGTTCTTCTCCCTACCATACTACTCTCCTCTTTCTTGTACTGACTTAGCACTTCTCCAAACTACTTTCCTACATAACTGTATTATTGTGTATGTGCATCTAAAGAGTGGATAGGGACGGCTGTGAGGGGAGGTTGGAGGCCGTTTATTTGGAATGTAATTAAGTTACATTTACCTGTTTTTGTTTCTAAGTTATGTCTACATTGTTTTCCAATAAAATATTTCTTTGCAGTCTAAGTCATAGTTATGTTGTATTTTAATGAATGAATTTGAATTGTTTGAAAAGAGCAGTTAAGGTTTTGTTATTTGAATTTCATGAGAATGAATGCATAGTTAATGGTGTATCTACAGCATTAGTTGAGAGTGCATCAAACGTATATAATGTCACATCCGTAATGCTCACAATATAGTGACAATATAAGATATGTCCACTGAGACGCAATTGTAATATTTTCACATGCATAGATCACAAATGTTTCAGTTTGACTGTCAATGTGAGAAATGATCCCTCTGAAGGGAGTAATACAAATGTGGAACATATTTGTTAAGATGTGAGGGGGGTTCTTCTATCATTCTCCGAGCTAATAGACAGTTGTAGCATGTAAAGCCTCAGATGATCTTCTGAGTGTACCAGCAGACAGATGGAACATGTTGTGGTTAACGATTCAATGAGTGAGTGAATGATGTAATGAAAACCTTACAGTGCTATCATGGCAACATATAACAGGTAATCCAGCCTGGACCAGACAAAACATGTAAGATAATCCAGCCTGGACCAGACAAACCATGTAAGGTAATCCAGCCTGGACCAGACAAACCATGTAAGGTAATCCAGCCTGGACCAGACAAACCATGTAAGGTAATCCAGCCTGGACCAGACAAAACATGTAAAATAATCCAGCCTGGACCAGACTATGTTAGGTAATCCAGCCTGGACCAAACTATGTTAGGTAATCCAGCCTGGACCAAACTATGTTAGGTAATCCAGCCTGGACCAGACAAACCATGTAAGGTAATCCAGCCTGGACCAGACAAACCATGTAAGATAATCCAGCCTGGACCAGACAAAACATGTAAGATAATCCAGCCTGGACCAGACAAAACATGTAAGATAATCCAGCCTGGACCAGACAAACCATGTAAGATAATCCAGCCTGGACCAGACAAAACATGTAAGATAATCCAGCCTGGACCAGACAAAACATGTAAGATAATCCAGCCTGGACCAGACAAACCATGTAAGATAATCCAGCCTGGACCAGACAAAACATGTAAGATAATCCAGCCTGGACCAGACAAACCATGTAAGGTAATCCAGCCTGGACCAGACAAACCATGTAAGATAATCCAGCCTGGACCAGACAAACCATGTAAGATAATCCAGCCTGGACCAGACAAAACATGTAAGATAATCCAGCCTGGACCAGACAAACCATGTAAGATAATCCAGCCTGGACCAGACAAACCATGTAAGATAATCCAGCCTGGACCAGACAAACCATGTAAGATAATCCAGCCTGGACCAGACAAAACATGTAAGATAATCCAGCCTGGACCAGACAAAACATGTAAGATAATCCAGCCTGGACCAGACAAAAACCATGTAAGATAATCCAGCCTGGACCAGACAAACCATGTAAGATAATCCGGCCTGGACCAGACAAAACATGTAAGATAATCCAGCCTGGACCAGACAAACCATGTAAGATAATCCAGCCTGGACCAGACAAACCATGTAAGATAATCCAGCCTGGACCAGACAAACCATGTAAGATAATCCAGCCTGGACCAGACAAAACATGTAAGATAATCCAGCCTGGACCAGACAAACCATGTAAGGTAATCCAGCCTGGACCAGACAAAACATGTAAGATAATCCAGCCTGGACCAGACAAACCATGTAAGATAATCCAGCCTGGACCAGACAAACCATGTAAGGTAATCCAGCCTGGACCAGACAAAACATGTAAAATAATCCAGCCTGGACCAGACAAACCATGTAAGGTAATCCAGCCTGGACCAGACTATGTTAGGTAATCCAGCCTGGACCAGACAAACCATGTAAGGTAATCCAGCCTGGACCAGACAAACCATGTAAGATAATCCAGCCTGGACCAGACAAACCATGTAAGGTAATCCAGCCTGGACCAGACTATGTTAGGTAATCCAACCTGGACCAGACAAACCATGCAAAGTAATCTAGCCTGGACCAGACTATGTTAGGTAATCCAACCTGGACCAGACAAACCATGTAAGATAATCCAGCCTGGACCAGACAAACCATGTAAGATAATCCAGCCTGGACCAGACAAACCATGTAAGATAATCCAGCCTGGACCAGACAAACCATGTAAGATAATCCAGCCTGGACCAGACAAAACATGTAAAATAATCCAGCCTGGACCAGACAAAACATGTAAGATAATCCGGCCTGGACCAGACAAACCATGTAAGATAATCCAGCCTGGACCAGACAAACCGTGTAAGATAATCCAGCCTGGACCAGACAAACCATGATGACTCACAGGTAAACAGGTCACAACTGATCATCCATCAATGACTATCGCAGGAATTCGTTATTGGTCAAAATATGGTAGAGAATTCTTACATACAGCGATTGCATGGTTCATTTACTGACCAAATACTCGTTTCCGTGATCACTATTCATAATGATCAAACACTGTAACATACACATTTTTAAGAAAAACATCGATACCTGGTAAGTTGGCAAATTGATTCTGATCTGGAAAAAAAGGTGGGTCAGTCTGGGTCATTATTATAATCATATCCAACAACTACTCTCACCAACACGTTCTTTAGACCATCATGGGTGACAGGATATTGTTTGTATCTGGTGAAAAGCAGGATGGTCACTCTGATGAGCACCAGTATACGTGGAGGTGTATCCAGAACTGATTTATTGTTTCATAAGTTCTTCTCGGCTACATATGGTTGAGAAATACTCTTTCTGATGAAAATCCATCCTATTTCCGCAAAGAACTTCTACGCCCGCCCCATTTATCCTCCTTCCTCCTCCATCCATCCTCCCCATCCACCCTCCTTCCCCTTTCCACCTCCTCCTTCCCTCCACTCCACCCTCTTTTCCTCCACTCACCCTCCTTCCCTTCACCAACCCTCCTTCCCCACCATCTACCCCCTTCCACTCCACCCACCCTACTTCCCAACACCAACCCTCCTTCCCTTCACCAACCCTCCTTCCCTTCCCCTCCTTCCCTCCTTTCCCCTCCATCCACACTCCTTCCCTTCAACAACCCTCCTTCCCTCCATTCACCCTCCTTCCCCTTCCTCACCAACCCTCCTTCCCTTCACCAACCTCCGTTCTCTCCATCCACCCTAATTCCCCTTCACCAACCCTCCTTCCCCTTCACCCCTCTCTGAATCCCTCCACTCACCCTCCTTCCCCTTCACCAACCCTCCTTCCCTCCATCTACGCCCTTCCACTCCATCCATCCTACTTCCCAACAACAACCCTCCTTTCCCCTCCACTAACCCCCTTCCACTTCACCTCCAACCCTCCTACACGCCCCTAACCTTTCACCAACCCTCCTTCCCTCCACTCAACCTACTTCCTACCCTTCACCAACCCTCCTTCCCTCCATCAACCCTCTTTCCTTTCCATCCATCCTATTTCCCTCCACCAACCCTACCTCCTTTTCAACCATCCTTCTCCTTCTCTCCCCCTCCATCCACCCTCCTTCCCTCCACCACCCCCTACTTCCCTCTCCACACAACCCTCCTTCCCTTTCACCAACCCTCCTTCCCTCCACCATCCACCCTTCCCCTCCACCCACTCTCCTTCCCTCCCACCAACCCTCCTTCCCCTCCATCCACCCTCCTTCCTTCCCTCACCCATCCACACCCTACTTCCCCCCACCAACTTCCTCCTCCACTCCACCCACCCTACTTTCACCTTCCCTCCTTCCCTCCATCCACCCTCTCCTTTCCCTTCCATCCACCTTCTACTTCCCTCACCAACCCTCCTTCCCCTCCATCCACCACCCCCTTCCCTTTCACCAACCCTCCTCCACCTCCATCCACTCCTTCCCCTTCACTCACCCTCCTTTCCCTTCACTAACCCTACTTCCCTCCATTCTACCCTCCTCCTTCCACTCCATCCACCCCCTTCACCTATACCAACCCTCCTTCCCTCTATCCACACTCCTTCCCCTCCCAACCCTCAGTTCCTCCTTCCACCCTCTTCCACCTCCATCCACCCTACTTCCCAACCCTAACCCTCCCTCCTTCCCCTTCACCCCCCTCTTCCTCTTCACCAACCCCTCCTTTCTTCCCTTAACCAACTTCCCCTTCACCAACCCTCCTTCCCCTTCACCAACCCTCCTTCCCCTCCACTCACACTCCTACTTTCCCCTTCACCAACCCTCCAACCCTCTTTCCCTCCATCCACCCTCCTTCCCTCCACTCACAACCCTCCTTCTTCCCCTTCAACCCAACCCTCTCTTCCCCTCCACCAACCCACCCTTCTACCTCACCCTACCTCCCCCTCTTCGGCCAACCCCTCCTCCCCTTTCATCCACCCTCCTCTCCCCTTCACCAACCATCCTTC